CTCACTCACCCACTCACTCACTCACTCACTCACTCACTCACTCACTCACTCACTCACTCACTCACTCACTCACTCACTCACAAACTCAACCATTCTTTCTTTTTTTCTGGTTCCTTACCTGATATTTGTATAAAATCTTTGAATGAGTTTTCAATGCTATGACAAGTTTAATATCTAGAGACAAGAAGTAGTAATATAAAACTCACGCGTATGGCATGTATCTCCGGTGTAGCCTGTCCCGGCACAGTCACAGGTGTTCGGTCCCACACACGATCCACCGTTGTTACAGCCCTGGCTACAGATGGCTATGGGTGGGGAATACAGTGCAATTACGACACCATGCGGAATTAGTCTGAACTACAGATAACGGTAACGTTATAACAGTTACAATATTATAGAAAGTTACGAAGTTTCCTGCCATAATCTACTTGAAGATGGATGAATATGAACTTAATTTTGTAGCACAGAGAACCATGAAGTCTATGGTAGATATAAAACTACATATTTTTTACCTCTAATACTAGTACTACGGGTATTCCTTGAAGTAGACAAGGAACTTTTATGGTGTAGCAAGGCCTGCTAAAATCTAGACGGGCTTCCAAATGTTCCATAGAATCATTCGAACGCGTTTCGAGTGCGCCGCTTTCGAAAATTCGAATACAGAATTCGGGTGTTGGAACACAATGTTTTGTTGTTGAGGCAATTTTTTTCTTGGGACACCAAATTTTAGCATTTTTGCATCGAAAGGTATGTTTTCTCGGGTGGGCATGATACGCATATACTAGCATAGAATACTACTACAACAAGCAAGGCGTGTATTGCTAAAAAATAAAATGAAAAGTCTCGCCAGTTTCTCACCTATTTCGCAAGTATCTCCTGTATAGCCATCGCAGCAGACAGTGATGGTGTCTGGTTCAGTAACGGTCACCAACTGTACCACAGTCTCTATGGTGGACCTGGGATTAACCATGCAAGGGGACAACCATGAAGAAATATGCAACGCACCCAGCAAGAAATAGCAGAAAAGGAAAGGGGGAAGGGGAAATAAAGTCTTCTGTTTTTATAAAAGAATGATAAAAGTCTTCAGAGTCGACATATGAATTGCCATCTAATTTCTGTTAATGTAACGTTACTAGTAACGCTACAGGTGGCAGTTTTTTTTTCAAGTTTTATTACCGTTTGACTTCCTAAAATATTGAACTGGAGTCAACGAAACTTGATTCCACCATAGTTAACGTTAACGGTTACATATTCAACTGTATCGATTATACTTAGAGAATCAGAAAAACGACTCAAGAAAGCTATTTAATTAAGATATTCTATTTGAACCTTTAAACAAACAGGGATATCGATCAATGGAGAACAATACACAGAAAGTTCTGTAAAGCTAAACGTCTTCTAATAAAGGGTTAATGCACTGCCCCGAGTTGTATATGGTGTCATAACTGCATGAGCAGCTGCCATAACCACCGAATAAACCACCGTGTGAGCGAAGCGAACGAGGTGGTTTATGAGGTGGTTATGGCAGCTGCCCATGCAGTTATGACACCATATACAACGAGGAAAAGGCAGTGCATTAAAATTATTATCATATAGCCTATCCAAACTGTCAATCAACACAATTCCTGTTTGAAATACAACAGCTTTAATATATATACATACATAAAAATACATTCGAATATATTATACGCTTTAAAACAAATATGGATAATTTCATTTAATGCAAATTGTAGTTTAAATGAAGCTAAACAAAAGTTTATTGGACAGAAAAATGCTACAAAGGTTTACAGAAAGAGTCGCATGCCCCTATACCCTATAACATAATGGTATCAGCCATAACACGACATGTGCTGTTATTCCGCCATAACACCACATGTGCTGTTATCGGGAAATAACAGCACGGGTATCCGGGCCTCTGATTGGTCCACGCCGTCCGGCTATATGATAAAGTGCTATATACGTGTGCTAAATTGTCAATTAATGGTTAATGACCCACCATGAGCTTGAGTTGTTAACGGTAACATACTATCTCTGAAAAAAACAATAGGTCACTGGCCAGGCGTTATTTCACCGAGGGAGTAGGCCTCATTGACTGAAATCGAAAATGAAACTACCTGTGTCGGAGAGGATTTACAAATATTGTTTCTCAAACGCAGTGCTTGGTGGTGGAAGACGAAAATCATTTCATCTCTAATCATATCAAACACCAATTATTTACCACCGTGTCCAAAATGCACCCTTACTTTCCCACTATTCCTTACCAAGAGAAAACAATTTTACTACTAAAATCAAGGAATCCACATATCTTAGAAGAAGTG